TCTCCACCCTCCCCACCGTGCTGGGCGTCTTCCTCTTCGGTGTGCAGGAGATCGGCCTTGACGCTTGCCTCAGCCAGATGTTCTTCATCCACTGCTTCTCCATCATGGACTCCGGGGTGCTCTGGGCCATGGCCCTGGACCGCTTCGTCGCCATCTACAACCCGCTGCGGTATGCCTCCATCCTGACCGGCCACCGCATCGCCCTGATAGGCTCAGGGATTGCTGTGAAAAGCATCCTTTTGCTGCTCCCGCTGCCTCTTCTCATGAGGAGACTGCCCTTCTGCAGGGCCAACGTGCTGGCCCACCCCTACTGCCTGCACCCCAACCTGATCCGGCTCCCGTGTGCAGACACCACCCTCAACAGCCTTTATGGCCTGTTCGTCCTGCTCTGCACCTTTGGCCTGGATTCCCTCTTTATCATCTTGTCCTACACCATGATCCTCAAGACTGTCCTGAGCATCACTTCGAGAGACGGTCGCCTGAAGGCCCTCAACACCTGCGTCTCCCACATCTCTGCAGTGGTGGTTTACTACACCCCGATGATCGGCCTCTCCATGGTGTACAGATTCGGCAGGCGGGCGTCCCCTCTGGTGCCCTCCCTCCTGGCCCACATCTACCTCCTGGTTCCCCCGCTACTGAACCCCATCATCTATAGCATCAAAACGAAAGAAATACTCAAGGCTTTGTGCAAATTCTTTTCACCAAAGACCACCTAGGAGGGAGGGAGGGAGACCGAGCATCGTTTGGCTCTTGAGGTGGAGCCTCTCTTCCTTGAATGCCAGAAGGTGAGCTCGAAGAGATGCTGCGGACGTTCAGAAGGGACGATCCATTGTGTTGGCCTCCTGAACTCTGGGACCCAGAGGCAGAAGGGATGAGAGAGTTTTGTGGAATGTAAATAATGTGGACACTTCAATTCAATTAAGAACAGAGCTGGAAGGGACCTTGGAGGTCTTCTAGTCCAGCCCCCTACTCAAGCAGGAGGTCTTATACCATTTCAGACAAGCGGCTGTCCAGTCTCTCCTTAAAAACCTCCAGTGATGGAGTGCCCACAGCTTC